TTGTTCCCAGGCACCTCTGTGGCCCTGCCTCTTGCTGGAGGGTATGCTGTTCTTGCTGTGTGTTCAAAATCCCTGTTACTGCCTGTTTGGAATGGAATGGTCCCCTCCCAAATTCATATGTTGAAGCCTGAATTCCTCATGTGGTGTTTACAGGTGGGGCCTTTGGGGAGTACGTTGGCCTAGATGAGCTCATGAAGGTGGGGCCCCAGGATGGGATTAATGTCCTTCTCTAGAAGAGAAAGAAGGGATAACTGTAATACAGAGAAGCTTTGATCTCCCTGCTGGGCAGAGTCCTCGCGGGAGCACCATCTGCCGAAACCTTGGTCTCAGACATTGCCTCCCAGACTCCAGCATTACAAGGAGCAAATGTCTTCTGTTTAAGCCCTCTGGCCTTGCAGCCCCAGCACAGCCCAAATGCTCAGATCTCACTGTTGTTCCCGGCCCGCCTGCAGCCCTTCAAGGCCCCTGCAGTCTGCCCCAGTAGGCCCTTTGCCATGCTTCAGATGACAAGGCACAGCTGCGGGGGCCCAGCCCATGCCGCCCCTCCTGCAGGCTTGGCTTAGGGTTCAGATCTCTGCCTGCCCCACTGGATCTGTAGGAGTGTGATCTCCTCACCCCATTTCTCCCTCTGACAAGCAGCCTGAGCTGATAAGGACGTTGAGAAAACATAATGGGCTACAGAGGGATGGTCAGCAAACCTCCAAGGGGGCCGATCTATTCCTCCGAAAGTGCACTTATTTTCAACCTAGGTTCATTTTAAAAGGGCAGCACTTGGTGTCTCTGCAGTAGGAAATGTTCTGTCGAGTAATTCTCACCCTGCCCTCTGTGCTTCTCTTGCAGGCACTCTCCATGGCCCCTGTGTCCTGTGACTGCCCGATAAACAAGGCAGCACATTGCTAGATGTGTATAAAATTACTTGTGATCGGGATCAGATCTTTTGTTCTGACCCGGAGCATAATGGCCCAGGAAGCTTTGTCCAAACTTAGGGACACTGACAGATGTACAGGGTGGAAGGACCCCACGGTGGCCAGGACTGTGTACCCAGCTTTCCCCACACATACCTGCGAGGGAGGAGCAGAGCAGCGTGCCACATGCTGGCCACAAGTCGGGCCACACCGAGGCACACTGGGAGAGAGAGCAGGGAGGACACTGCAGGCTCACACTCTGGGCAGTTGTTGATCTTCAGCTTTGAAGGGACAGGAGGTGAACATTGTCACTGAAGGTGTCCAGGGCTCCCACGAACGCCACACGGTCATGCTTAACGCTTCTAAGGGTGCCGTGGGAAGACAGCCACTCCTGCATCCGGAGAGAGGCCACAATGTTTTCCTGGTTTTTTGCTTTATGGGGGTATGATGACATTTTTATGGAGAAGCTTGTCCTTGTTGGTCTTGTGTGATGATTTCTACAGAGCTCAGACCCGGGGGAGAGGCCTCGCCTTGCCCACATTCCTCAGCCCCGCCACAGAGGGCAGGTGTGCGCCGCCCACGCAGAAGGCCACAAGGCTGCTTTGTTTAACGGAAAATTACTAAGGTCCTGCCTGGCTGTTAGGTCATGTTTGTTCTTAGAAACAGCCTCAGTGAGGGTGCAGAGTGCAGCGCGCGGGTGCCTTGTCCTCCGCACACCTTCATGACACCGGGCTGCTGGCACCGGTAGATGAGCCGCCCCGCCCCCACCCCACGCACGCACACCGAGAAGCCGCGCTTCGCAAAGGCCGTCGCTGGCTGCCGCGCCATGCGCTCTGGACCTCGCGATCCCAGCGCATAGACAAGCAGAGCAAAGCAGGTAGCTCTGTCTCCAGGCATTTCGTACACTTTTCAGCTTTCTTCTGGGCCAAGGGCCACTGTTAAACAAGGGTAGGACATCTCTCATCTAGGTTGTGTTTGCTACTATCTTCTCCTAAAGAAGGCAGAAGAAAGGCATTGGCCGAAAGCATGA